CTAGCCATCTATCCATCCTCGGTCTCGGCTCAATGTTGACTGATCCATGTCTCTGTGACAAGAGAGGGAAAGAGAGCAAAGAAAACACAGCCTTATTGCCTCATTATTCTCAGGAAAGGTTGTTCAGAATGTACCACCAACGTTATGCTGATGAAGACTCTGTCTCGCTCAATTAGCCCCTCAATCATTAATGAAACTTTCCAGACCATTCGTACAGCAGGCTGGTGGTCTGTTCTATGTTGGTCAGGTGTCACAATAACTGAAGAAGTGTGGGTCAAGACGCCCCTTGCAAAGCTGCTGAAATGGCTGAGTCATGTATATTTATGATTAAAGTCAGTATACAGCAGGGCAGAAACTCAGCTGTGAGCTCTACTTTGAATTTATTTACTGCACATTATAGTGGCTACGTGTAAAAACACAAAGTCTCTGAGAGGAAGCAGCTGAAGTACAGGGTGTTATTTTTAGAGTATATTCCATGTTTATTAGTTGAGCTATTAATGGTTCCACGTGCAGATTGTTCTTTAACCTCTGAGCAGCGATCAGAGTGTCAGTGCACATCAACTGTGTAAAATGGTCAAATATAAATCTTAGAAAAGAAGAAGTGTGAGGTCAAAATAGAAGTAAGTGACTTGATTACGAGCTAACATATGAAGACGTTTAGTGTGTTGCACCAGCACAAACTTGGTTTTGGTGAGATTGACAATATTATGTGTTAGAGGTGGGAACTGACTCTGTTAGATATGATATCAAAACTATAGAGAGAAGAATACTTCAATCACGCACACAGTTGGATTTACTAACTTTTGCAACACCTGTTTTATTGCTATTTGCAGGGATATTCAACGCCGGAAACAAGCTCGATGTGATGGCAGTTATTGCTGTGTGGAGGCGTTGCAGAGATTAAAGACTGTGTGTTAGAAGACTGAGACATTTCTCCATTGGATTCAATTTAATTGGAAAGCCAGACAACAACGTGATAAAAAAGTAAACCGTCCCATTCTCACTTTTCTCAGCGAGTCACACAACACCAGCAACAGAACTTCTTCCAGCTCTTCACTTTTTGATATCAGTTTTTTCCAACCTACTGTAGCAGGAATCTGACAGCCTTTGTTTCCATTTGCCTGGTCCCAAATATGGTCGATGTGACTGACGAGAAGAGTTCAGAGGTGTGTGTCTTTCCGGGCACGCCCTTTAGCCGGTTAAGCAGGATTCCCATCTTTGGAGTAATTGACAGAACACGTGTATTTTTAATTGTCCCACGTGAAACTGAGTGTGGGTTGTGTAATAAGAAGCACACACACTCAGTTAATGTGCAAATAGTCTCTGAATCCATAAACATTATGTACATTATTACAACACTGTAGCAAAGCATCCAGTGTCTGTTCACAAAGTCTTCATTTTCCAGAAGAACAAACATTTTAAAAACCTGCAGGATAGAAAGTACAGAGATGGTTGGCCTTCAGGTGAGTCCACAGTATTTCACGTGTGGCTTGTTGAGCCACTGATTTTTGCTAAACCAGATGCTGCATGTTAGATTTGTGTTCTCATAAGTAAATATATTAATTTATCTTATTTTGTAAAAGACGTTTTCTGATTGTCATCTTATTTTGGAAATTATTTTATTTTGGTTGCCTAGGTAACCATCTAATGTTTGTACTACTCTGTGTAATGACTTATGCGACTTATGCGAAATCTCTGTGGGCAAGGGCAACTCAAGGGCATAATCTTAGCTATGGTGGCCACAGTAGGGCAAACAGCTGTTCGTCTGTAGTAAGTGTGGGCTGTCAGTCTGCTGTTTACCTCACCTCTCAGTATATGGCCACATCTAATTACCCTGGAAGAGGCTGTAAAAGTTGTGAAAGCAGCCTAATAAGAGCCGTAAAGACAGTAAAGCTGTCACAGTTTGCCGAGGCAAACGGCGTGGAGTGTGAAGAGTGGACCCAGGTGCAGACATTCTAAAACTCAAACTTAACTGATGAGCTGTTTATTAAGGCAGACAGAACAGTACAAAATAAAAGGGCAAAAACAATGCAAACTA